GCTCATATAAGATGGGCCACCCTATATAATTTCTAGCTTAAATGGTAAAAATTTAGTACTCTGATCTAATGTTCACAGGGCAGGGAGAGTTACTACATAGCAAATAAGGAAAATAATGAATAACATGTGCAGAAACTACAGCCAAAATAATAGCGGAAAAGCATATTGCACACAGCAACTGCTAGGTTGTATCACAAAGGACCACCCTCTGTGGAGCCATGGGGAAGAAAACCGGACTTTGACGGCACATGCTGAAACCATGTAGTCTTTTCCATAGAGACTGACTCCTCCCAGAGAAGAAGGAGCAAGAGTAGAAGAGAGCTGTGAACACTGTAAATCCTGATACAGATTCTTGGGTGGTAAAAAATATTTATCGGTTACAAAACAAAAGACTGCTTTTATGATGCTTCTGAATTATACTTTGGATCACTATTGCTATTTGTACAATTTAGGCCTTAGATACTCTCCTCTGTGGATGTGTGTGTTTGGATAGCTTGGAAGAATTCGCTTGTATGTTAAGGTTGTCTAGACTACTATGAGATTGCACAAAACAGAAGCAAGTGTACAAGTCGAGAAAGTAAATAAATTCTAAGAGTCAAGTAGGTAACCTTTTTATGAGGTGGCAACAAAACAACAGAAAGGTATATAGTCTACAGAATTTTTAGCATGAAATTACGGAAATTTAAGCTATGCTTATTTCTTTTACCAGACATGAGCTCTCCTCACTGACACAACATCAGATTCTGAGTCATCAAGGAAGCTTCTTCCAAGCCATAGTCATTTCTATACCCTCTAAAATTATTCATCACTGGCAGTTACAAGATATTAATTTTTAAGACATTTGAAATGAGTGTAACATGAAGCTTTCTGATATTATTTTGTTGTCCTGTAACCTGCTTATAACAAGCAGCATTTTTTAAATGGATTATGAAAAAAGAGTACAGGGTCTTTTAATATGATTTCAGTTATCTAACCTGAATCCCCTTAAACCACATTCCCTCCCTAAGACATGCTGCTGACACCCACCGGCAGCACATGCCCACAGCTGGAAGGACATGCTTTAGGATATGCCACACTTTTACTTCCATGGTCCTTCTTGGTGCTTTGGTGGCAATTAGTAAATGCACTGCTTCTTCCCAGATCTATTTGATGCTGTTGTACTTCTTAAAGTCATCATCATTTAGTTAAAAATTTCATAAGTCATGACATAAGCCAGTCCAAAATGTTGCTAGGAAAACCAGGTATACATATTCTTGAAGACTTTTTGAATTGCTAAAAAACTTGCTGTTGAATTTAGGGTGAATCAATAATAATAAACTGGAGTAGAGGATATCATTCCACTCTAGTCTCCATCTCCACGTTATTGAAAAAAACCATGGTTTGTGCCTCCTGGGGATGTTTCTGCAACAAAAACATGCAGAATTTCAAACAGACTCCCTAGCTGAAATTAGTCAGAAGGAAAAAGATAAATGCCAGTGGTCTTACTTATATATGGAATATAGAGAAACCAAACAAAAGGTCAATAAAAAGTCAAAACTAAGAAGTTGGGCCTTCCCTGTTGCGCAGCGGTTGAGCGCTGGGTTGTGAAGCTGCCTGCAGCCTCTGCAGTACCGGTTCGATCCCCAGATGCCAGCAAGGGTCCCACATGGCGCACAGACCTCTCCTGCCGCCCACTGCTCCCCTCAGCAGTGTACTTTGTCACTCTGCCTGTTCTGCTCTCCACTCTGGCTCTGGTGAATTCTCTCACCCTCCCGCGCTTTTAATTGTACCCAGTGCTTGTATAAATAAATAAATAAATCTTAAAAAAAAAAAAAAAGGCATACAGCAAAGGAGGGGCCAGGAGCGGGGCAAAATGGGAGGGAAGAACACTCGGGAATATGGTGATGGTTCACGGGTGACATGGTGGCAGGAGAACTATGGGGGACTACAACAATGTAAGAAAAAAATTAATTAAAAAATTTAAAAAGTTGTATACATGAGAAATATTTTATACAAAAAAAATGATACAGATAAAGAAGAAAAGAAAAGCAGATTCCTATGCAAAGTAATGGTTTTTGCCCTGCATCCCAAGTTTGTACATTATATTTTAAGTTAAATGTTTTAGGTGTCTATGCTAAATTTCTTAGGGATCTCTATCTGACATCTTTGTTTAGCAACCAACTGCTATTTCAAACCCATCAGAAGAAAAGGGGTTTTCATTATTTCCTGAATCTTCTTCCAAATAAGTTGTCTACTTTACTTGATAATGGACATGGATGTCCTTGCTAGAAGCCACCACAGTGTGATTTGGGAATGTCTCTCACATATCATCTTATTTTTATTAAGCAGGCACTGTTCTTGCCAAGGGGGTTGGCACTCTGTTTTTCACACCTGAATCAACCACATTCTTGGCCAGTTTTAATTTGAGAGTATTGAAAAGTGTGTCAAGCAGAAAACACAGTGCTGGTTCTAATAGCCATGAGGAAAGAAGCCCTGTTTAATCCAGCTCTTTTCTGATGCTTCTTTAAATCACTAACATCAGCTCACCATGCAGCGATTTCTCCTTTATTACATATTCAGCTTATGAAAAAAAATTACCACTGTTACCTAGTTCTGTTGATCCCATGATGTGACTTCACGGTATGCTTGTATTGTGAGCCTACTAAGCTGTGAAGAGAGCTGGGTAAATGTTTTTAAATGCTTCTTTCCTCTTACACCCATTGCCCATTTGTTTTGTAGATCACTTCTTTGCAAGCCTTCTTTTTTGACATTTACTAAATGATTGCAACAGTCTATTTTTAAAACATGGGCCTAGAACCATGTTATATTAATCTGATCAGAAAAATTAAATCAAATGAAAATTGCTTAGAAGAAAAATAGGGACTAACAATGAGAAAAACTGTGAGTGGCCCAATATGCATCCATTCCCTTGCTATATTTGCGGTGGTGGTATTTTATACTATTGCCAGACTTTGAAAGGAAATCCAAAAAATTAAAAATAGTTCCTTTGTGTAGCAACCATTTACTCAATACCTAGTCTGGATCAGCGCTGGGAATACAAAGCTGAGGAAACATTCACTCTGTAAGCAACTCACAGTCCAAGGCAATGATTCTCAAACTTGAAATAAAAACTGGAGCTGTTCTGGCCTTAGCCTCTCAGAAGGGCCTTCTAAAGGCACCTAATTTGCTCAGAATAACCGTTGCTAGGAATTTCTCCTAAGAAATAATCATCAGAAAAATTTGCGAATATATATTGTTTCTTTCAGAATAACAATCTTCATCTTTAAATACATGATTTATCAAAGGCTAATACTAGAAACCTACTCTGCTTAACCTTGTAAAGAATTTAGCCCTGATTTTTTTTCTTTTCCACTGACATTGTGTGTCTTCATTATTTCTTTTTTTTTAAATAAATTTTATTTTTATATTCCCCATACAATTGCAATCCCCTTATTTTGACCCCAATCCCTCCCCTCCCCACCCCCACCACCCATAGAGTGTCTCTGGTTCATAGTTGTTTGTTGATTTTGATTTTCACTTTCTTATAGTTATTCATTTTCCTGCTCCCTTATTTAAGTTTTCTAGATTCCTGCTATGAGTGAGACCATCCTGTATTTTTCTTTTTCTTTCTGGCTTATTTCGCTGAGCATGATCCCTTCCAGCGCCATCCATGTTGCTGCAAATTGCATGTGCTTATCTTTTTTGAATGCTGAGTAATATTCCATGGTGTATATGTACCACATCTTCTTGATCCAGTCATCTATTTTTGGGCATTTGGATTGTTTCCAAAGCTTAGCTATTGTAAACAGTGCTGCTATAAATTTATTATTTCTTAATATGTAATTATTATCTTAATAGTTTACCAAGCTCACCATTTAGTTTTCCCATATTTCTCTTTAATCACCAGTATGGTATAAACGATATCTTAAGTTGATAGCATTTTCTTTGAACCAACCTGCCACTGTCATGGGGCTTCTTTCTTCACTGACTATTTTTTTTTTTAAGATTTATTTTTATTTATTTATACAAGCACTGGGTACAGAAGCGTGGGAGGGTGCGAGAATTCACCAGAGCCAGAGCGGGGAGCAGAGCAGGCAGAAGGACCAAAGAACACTGCTGAGGGGAGCAGCGGGCGGCAGGAGAGGTCTGAGCGCCATGTGGGACCCTCCTCTGGTGGCCGGGGAGCAGCCGGGGATTGAACCGGCGCTGCAGAGGCTGCAGGCAGCTTTGCAACCCAGCGCTCAACCACTGTGCCACCAGGGAGGCCCGTTCGCTGACTATTTTTTATAAGTCTCTGACAAGCTGCTCCAAAGTTAAAATCAAATATAATTTTAGTACCGATACCGGTGCCCTCTGTTCTTGATCCCAATTTATATAAAAGGTTTTTTGATTCCACGTGGCCATTAGTCAGTAGGTTTGGAAGGAAATTGAGGCACATGAAATATATTATCAACTGCTTAGTATTTAGTTGGCTCACCATGATGTCTGCCAACTTGCCGGGAGGTTAGTCAACCCCCTACTTTTAAGTAGAGGTTTAAGTTGTTCTAATCATATAGCGTGTATCTAAAATCATCTTGCATAGGCTCAAACCTTTTGCTTTCCAGGTATGAGGATTTAGTTAGTACTTGGATTACCATTCAGCAGCCTTTCTGACCTTTTTCATTCAAATGTAATGAGTTAGAAATTCTTAGGTTGTTATGAATTAATGAAATTCTGAACTCAAATGTTATTTCTTGAACATATATATGCAAACATCCTGGTAAACTGTGCTTCCAAGGCATGGCAGTATCTATCATGTTATCTGAAGGTTTGCTTTTATCACTTCAATTTTATCTTCCCCTTAAGGCGACAACCAGATTAACAGAAAATTAAACACTGGCCAACCTAAGGCTTTTCCATAATGGTTCTTCATAGTCCTCTTCATCTGGATTTTCTACTGCTTTTATCCTTCAAGACAATGACATTTCAAAATTTCTTTTCCCCAGATGATAGAGGTCATTGATCATTTGTTCTAATTTAAGGGTTTCTCCTCTTCAAAAATCTGAAGTCGTTGAGATGGTTAAGAAACAAGTCAAAGTCATAACGCTTGCGATTGGTGATGGAGCAAATGATGTCAGCATGATCCAGACGGCGCATGTTGGCGTTGGTATAAGCGGCAATGAAGGCCTTCAGGCGGCTAATTCTTCTGATTACTCCATCGCTCAGGTAAAGCTTCATTTCTACAAAACACCTCATTCAGTCAGCTGACACTAGGAAGAGGAAAATACTAATCTTTTTCCACTTTTATTTTAGTTCAAATATTTGAAGAATTTATTGATGGTTCATGGTGCCTGGAACTATAACAGAGTCTCCAAGTGCATTCTGTATTGCTTCTACAAGAATATAGTCCTCTATATTATTGAGGTAATTGCGGTTAAGTTTAAAATCCTTCTTACGGTCATTTCCATATGTGACATTTAAAGCCATTTTCTTCGTGAGGGGAGGAAGGTGAAGGGGGATAAGAAATTTTCTTTATGAAAATATTTTTATCATTTCTTTTCATCATTTTCATTCACTCTTCATTTGCCTATGTTTTATAACTTCTAAACAGACTAAATCAAAAAGTTTCACAGTCATGGAGAATAAATAATGTTTAAATTCTTGTTAAAAGTGATATATTACTTCAGTAAAAAATGTTGAATTAAAATTGCTAATGAGATAACATTTTCTTTTAAATGTTTAAAAGGACTACAAACTACATAGCATTTTTTAATAATAGTCAAAAACAGGGGAGAAAATAATGCACTATTGATGTGTGTCGGGGCTATATTTAAAAAGGAAAGTAAGAGGATGATAGACAAGTGAGGATAGCAATTCAAAGGAGTAGAATTGGGAAAGATAGGTAATTTCACTAGTGTTGGTCATCCTATAGTTCTTATTATGTTTCAGACTTACCGATCTACAATATCTCTTGCTATCCCAATTTTGGTAGATAGCAAGAGTTCAGATAATAAGGAATTTATCTTAGAATTTTCAGAATGTTTGGTTCCCGTGTTTGAGTTACAAGCCATTTCCATATTCATTTTCATGTATCAAATATAACATCACTTTTTGTAATGTAGTCTTAGCCTGGATCAGGACTATCACACCTGAAAGGATGCACTTGCTCTGCAAACATTTTTGCAGCACCTACTGGATTCTAGGCACCAGGCTTAGTTCATCAACTACCAAGTAAATTAAGTACAGTTCCTGTCATTCAAAACCTTGCCATAGAAGCACAGTGCAAGCCACATGTATAATTTTAAGTGTTCTAGACACCACATTAACAAGTAAAAATTGAAGCCCAAAATAATTTTAAATGAAATTTTATTAAACTCAATATTTTTGATATATCATTTCAATATGTAATCAGTATAAAAGTATTGTGATATTTTACCTTTTCTTCTTCATACTAAGTGTTCAAAATCTGATGTGCATTTTAAACTTGCAGCATATCTTCATTTGTACTAATCACATTTAAGTAGTCCTCCAGAGACTCATGTGGCCAGTGGCCACCATACTGGGCAGCACAGCACTCGTGGATAACCAAGGGAATTTGAATGGTTTATCAGGATAGGAGAAGTAATGAATTTTTTTTAACATATAACCATATTATCAGAAACTGTAGCTGTTATACTTAAACTCTATGTCATCAGTTTCTTGATCCTCTTGCAGCTCCACAGAGCTTGATAACGACCTCACCATAGCTTAAGAAAACCCTCCATCTCCCATCCTTATAAGAGGACCATCTACGCCTTCATAAATCTGCCCAGGGCACCATTACAGCTGTTTCTTTGTCACCTTGCCCTCTCATCTGTTGGCTGTTTCTGCACATATGTCAGAATAGACACAACCTAACCCATTTGCTGTATTGAAATAATATCCAGTATTTTAAAGCAGAGAGTTTAACACTCTAAACAAAAAAATCAGGTTTCACATTTATCCTGTTGACACCTGTTAAGAACTGCTATATTTGTGGCTCAGTTACTCTGTGCCTTTTCCTTATATGTATTTCTTTATCCTTTTTAAAATTTTAACTTAGCATAGTTTTTATTGTGAGTCAGGCTATTAAAATGGAAACTTAGTTTTGAAGTGTGAGGATAGTTTCATTTATTGGTCACTAAAATTTTCTAATTAGGTTACAGTTCATTAGATAAAATAACCAAATATTTGGAAACAAACAGAATAACCTGTGAACTTATTATCCATTACTGCTGAATTTCACCTGAAATTGCCTGTGTTTTAAAGCAAAATGCACTTCCAAAATTGGTTATGAGATCCAAAAATCATTCTTTGTTACAGGAATAAATTTGTGATTCCCTTCTAAAAAAGCTCTTCTTAAATAATTTTATTTGGTTCATAGTCCCCTCTTATAATTCCAACTTTGTAATATATTTTCTTTTCACCACAAAACATTGACATTCAAAAGGATATGCATATAGTTTAATTTGCATATACTTTTGAAGATTCTAGAAGCTTAAAACCACTGGCAATCTTAAACCTGCTTACAAAAATTTAGTTTTGTAAAATGAAATGAGAGCTCAACTTGCCACTTTTAAAAATCTAGATTATTATACAATCAACAATGAAGTGAGCAAAATGTATGCACTAGTGGAGGAAATAAACTATATTAAACTCAAATGAAAAGCTAAATCTGCATGCTCTGTTGCAAATCCAGAGTTATGTGATTTGTGGCTGAGTTGCCCTAAATTTCACTTGGCTTTGAATTTAAAGCCTCTTCATGAGATATTTAACACTGACCAAATTCTTTACATGTTGAAAAGGAAGTGAGTTCTAAACCTTACTGGCAATCTCATTTCTAAGTTATTTTTCTTTTAGCACTTTATGGAAATGTATTTTGAATATAATTCAACTATCTTGGAAATGAATTGACCTTTTAAATCAATTCCCAGATACCCAACTTTTGCCAGCTAAAACAAGTTCTGCAGATGTTAATGGCTCATGTCAATACTATGAGTGAATAGACAGAAAACACATCATTGAATGTCTCTACTGAGGACAACTGCCAGTCTCGAATCTCTCCTTTCAGTTTTTTGTGCTGATCAGGCGTGGGAGCAGAGGACTCACTGACTATTTGTAAGCTGCTATTTAATATGCAGAAATGCTCCATCAGGAAAAAGGCTGTGAGGCTTTACTGCCACGCCTCTGCTGGGGCGTAGAAGTTAGAAAATTAGAAAATTATATCAGGAAAGGCAGGTCTGAAGTTTTGTGGGTTTTTTTTTTTTTTTTTGCTAATAAAGGAATAGTCTGGAACTCCATGGGTTTTATAGATTATCTGCAAACACTGCTTCTCCCATTGCTGTATTGTCAGTAATATCACTATCTTGCTACCCCATTGCCATAAATTACTGCCAAACAAATACAGATTTGACAGGTGGTGGTATCAAGCACTTATGGTGCCACTTACATACTTATTTATGCCGAGCCACAAAGCTAGGTGTTCCTTGAAATGATTGACTCTTTCCAAAGAGTTTTTATTTATCTGAAACATCTGACTTCTTTCTAGCAAAATAGGACCTTCTCTTTCAAATAATTGCTTGCATCCAAGTTTTCTACTAAGATAGCAAAACAATGCAGTATTTTTAGTTTCCAGAAGTTTTAATTAAAGTCAATGAAACGATACTTTCCCAGCACATTGTGCTGGATATGAATTTCCTGTGATTTTGAATAACCCAAATACCCCTCCCGGAGGAACTGATGTTTTCTTTCTGCATCCCTGGTTTGGATAGAGTCAACGAAGGGAGTTTTATGTGTTTATACTAATTTAGATATTGTTTTCCTTAGTGTGGGATATGTTTCTAATGTATCTTTTAATTACCAACTTAATATCAGCCTTCTGTAGACTTCTTCACTGTTAAAAAAACTCTTTCACTTTTAAAATATGTAAACTTGAATGCCAATATATTTGCGTGTGACGATGTAGGGTACGATATCAGAAGGCTCTGTTCTTACCTAGTAATTTCTCCTTTTTTAAAAAAAAAAAAAGAAACTGGAGTAATAACTTTTTTTAACTGTAGGAAGAGAATTTATAAAAACATGGGCACAGACTTTTCCATAGGAAAACTAAAAAAGTAAAAATATATTAACTTTCCACTTAAAAACTTCTGCATTTTTGTCATAAAACAGTTAATCCAGGCATTTTAAAATAAACTTTGAGTGCAGGCATGTTGGTTTATTTGAAAATTATTTTGAATTTGAAACTTTGTGTAAATATTCATTGATTTGAGGGAGGTTCTTAAATTTCAAGCTTCTAGTAACATTTGAATCAACACCAAACATTATTATACAAAGAAACTATAAGACCACTTATATTTACCAATGTTTACTCACACACAAATTTATTAACCTAAGTTTTTCATTTGATACAGTACTGATTATTGCAAATGCATTTATAAATATAACCTTTGAGATAAATCATATCCATTAAATGTATTTGGTATGCATGTAATAACTTCAGCTTTCTTCAGACAAGCAAAGATTAGGCCACACCTACATAGACCAGTTAAGCATAATTGAAAATTGGTGTTTAAAATTTTCTTGGCAGCCTCTCTTCTGCCTGCCTGTGACTGTGCAGGTGTTTCTCTTCACAAACCTTTTCCCTTTGCAAAACCGGGAGCGTCAGCTCTGCTGCCCATCTGTGACTATGCAGGTGCCTCCCTTTTTTCTTTCTAATAAAACTGTCCTTTTAAAATGTAAAAAATTAAAGATAAATAAAAAGTTCTTATATTTCCATCATACCCCAAGAAATCTGAAAAAGCTTCTGAGTATGTGATACCACAGTAGATAATAGTTGCCTTCAGAGAGAACACTACCATCACCCAGACTAACAAAAATGTATGCTCCTCATCTTAAAAAGACCAACTGTGATAACGCAATAGAGAGCATTCATGTCTGTCTTGTCAACATGTATACACTTATGTTTAAAAAAGAAAAACAGAAAACAGTTTAAAGTCAACTGCACTACCCTAAAAAGTAAGCTGGTTTTCACATGAAGATGCTTAGTTCTTTTAAAGCATGTATCTGACTCCTTGTCTAGGACAAATATTCATTATTTTTCTTTAAATACATGTAGCAAAGCTCACAATTTTCAGATTTGCCTCAGTGTCCCTGCTTTTGTTATTGTCATTAATGTGTTGCCCCCTCCACAAACAAACAAACGCGCGCGCACACACACACACACACACACACACACAATTGGGACTTACTTTTCATGTGCTACTGCTACTTTGTTTTCTTTTCCATCTCATGAAGCAGACATTCATTTTTATATATGCTCAGTCATTCCTTTCCGCTATGAAAAGGAAAAAGATCAGTGTGGTACAGAAGCTGTTCATGGGGAGGCTAGGCTGGGTACATATTGATAAATGGTGAATTTGTAGCAATTCATGCTTCCATAATGAGGTTAAATGAAACGTGAAGTGTAGCAAAGTCCGTGCAACTCTGATTGAAAAATTCACTTGACCGGCATGTCCAGCCTCTTTCTTCTAACAGGTTTTGTTGTTGTTATGTTTGGGGTTTGTGCCTGTGTTTATGTAACCTCATAACTGGGCCGGACATTTTATTCTTTCAGTTCAGCTTGATTACTAATTAGATATTAGGTCCTTTTTAAAAATAATGTAGGTTTAATTGATTTACTAACTTTAGCTTTTTTTTAACAATGTAGGTATTATTGATTTACTAATAATTCACTTTAATTTTCCATTTCTCTTACATGTGTTAGAAAAACTTGTTTGTATTGCCTTTAATTTTGCATCCAGAGTTAAGATTTCCCTTTTTGAGAGATTGCAAAATACATAAGAACATTATACTTTGTTAGTTACAGATTTGTTTTTAATTTACAAAATGGCTTTTATATGTAAATTCAAATTTCACATCCTGATGGCTATAATTATATTTAAAAAAAAAAAAGTAAACGCTTATATACTTTTACCCAGTAACTTTACTCCTCTGAAGTCATCAAAAAAAAAAAAAAAAATCAAAGGGGTGTAAGGAAATCTTGGTGGATGCATCTATTAACTTAATTATGGTGATGGTTATGCAAGTGTGTGCATAGATCCAAAGCCACCAAATTGTATGAAACTTTTAATATCAATTATAGTTCAATAAAAGTTTTTTTACAAAAAAAAGATTTCACATTAAGGAAATAGAGATGTATAGGAATTCTGTATAAGATCGTTCAGTTCAGATGTAAAATAGCAAAAACTAGAAGCAAGTTATATCCAAAAATAGCTATAACCACACTGTAAAGAATATACACCCAGTAACATCATTTCAGAGGATATGGAACAACTTAAGAAAATGTATATCTTTTATATAATGTTAAGAGGGGTAAGAAAAGGGAATGATATTAAATATAGTCGTTTTCCAGAAAATTCAATTTGTGATATATATAAATGAACTATATGAATACAATCAAAACAGAAGAAAATAGTGATTTTATTATTACAGGAAATTATTTTATTTTCAAAAGTATTTTATAATAAAAACAGTAACAATGTTGAAGTAACTATCAGGAAATAGTTTAAAAAGTAATTAAAGCTCTAAAAATGCAATGGCATGAAATATACTCCCTGTAGTGCTTTTTAGCAAGCAAGGTTTTATTTAATTTCTTTGTAAATCTATGACTGCCTATTGATACATATCTTTTTTTGATTTAATGAATGGGGCGAATGCTGACTTAAGGAACAAATACCTAATGAAAGCATCCCTTAGAAATAATGCTATTTTCAAGAAAGGTGTGAAAATTATGTTAATTCTACTGTTGTATGATGGTACAGGATCTAAGCAATGACTTTGTGTTTTTTGTGTTCTAATTTCGGGGATTTATTGTGTTCTTCCTAGATCTGGTTTGCCTTTGTTAATGGATTTTCGGGACAGATCCTCTTTGAGAGATGGTGTATAGGACTTTACAACGTGGTAAGTTTAGGACATGTGATGATTCCTGTTTTATTGAATACTTTAAGACAAAGATTCACCCTGTATTCAGCTGTTTGGTATAATAACCAGTTTGTGCACTTTAGATGTTTACAGCCATGCCTCCTTTAACACTTGGAATATTTGAGAGATCATGCAGAAAAGAGAATATGTTGAAGTATCCTGAATTATACAAAACATCTCAGAATGCCCTGGACTTCAACACCAAGGTAGGACATATCTTGCTCCCTGGCACCCATTTGGGGGGGACTTGCTTTTCTGCTCTAGTTACTTGAAACATCAGGTCTTCCAAAGCCAAGGAGGCAACTCCTGGGTGCCAACCGTGATGAGTCAGATTTGTCTAAGATTCTAATATGGATTGAGATGGTTTTTGCTTCATTTTATTTTGTTTTATAATGTTAAAACGTAACCACGATTCCCCTTGGTTTGCTACATTAAGTGGGTGTCCTTTCGGCCCTCTGCCTTGCTGTCTTGGCCATGTTGTGAGAATTGCTCACTCCTCACAGGAGTCCATCTCCCAGGCCTGACAAGGACGTATAAAGTAGTGAGGGTGGAATGTCACTCTGTAGTAAATTCTTGTGTTGTGAAATGATTTTGTCCTCATCTGACTATCAGACAATTAGTATTGTGTGTTAAAGTAATAGTCTTGGGAAATAATTCATGTAGTCATAATTCTCAGTGTTTCTAAGCAATAAAATTTAAAACACAATATATAAAATGTCCAACATTTTATCTAAAATCATAGTCTGGGTTCATATCCTGCATAACATGCCACGGACTAGAGTCTTTGCTTGTGAGCAATGACATTATTCATCCAAACAACGAAAGTATCTCATTTTTCGCCTAGCTTATGTTCCTGCAAGCTATATTCTAAAATGCTTCCACTTGTGTTTATTAGTAATTCAGGATTTTGTTCAGTGTAAGGGGAAGGGGAACATTTCAATTTTATAATAGTCAAGGTAGCTGCCACTTTGAAACAATAATAAAGCAATAAATGCAATGCATCTTCACAGAACTTTTTCCCATGGATATTGTGCATATTTGTAGCATGTTATTAATATTTATAAGTAACCTAAATGCAGTGTTTTGAATTTAGCATAGTTGAAGTAACATATTGTTAATATTTATTCATTCATAAAGTTCTCGCTATGTTTACTCTCAGTATGCCAAGAGAATAAAGGGTAGATGCTTCAGTGCCTCAAACCTCCCAGCTTAAATGACAGTGCTAAGTTTATAGCCACAATATTATGCATCATCTGGGCCAGGTTCTCATGAATGCATGCTGTATGCTAGTCCAGCTGTGCCCACACACACAACTTGATGACATTGTTTTAAATAACTGAATTTCATTCATTCTGAAAGGTTCTGAGACATACCATTGTTTCTGAAAATTATTCTTCATGATCTCTTTTATGCTTTTATTTTTGAATTTTTATTCTTTAACATTATTTGTGATGTCCAGTTTGAATTGAATTCTACCATCCTGCTGTGAGGTTTCTCACTACCGATGGTGGGTATTTTCAAGTGATGGAAAGCCATAACTGAGGCAGATACAATGAACTATGAGCTCTTGTTTCCCTGAAAAAGTGATCTGGGAACTAAGAAAATTCCAGACCACTGACATTCTCACTGACTTCAACAGTTGCATCAACCTCAGCCACAGGTCCCCATCTGCTGTAGCGCAGACTGCGCTGTGCTCTCTGGAAAGTTAACTTCCCAGCCACACACTTACCATGGCATGCTTGCTTATAATATAAGTTTGATCCTCATGGATTTACCCAAAATCATTCCTGGAAAATCACATTCTTTTATGCCCTTTGCATATGGCAACATGAGCACAGTTTTGTGGCCAAGGAAAAGGTAGTGTGTAGTTTTAACAGGAAGTTTCATTCCTGGAATTCTTTGCTCTTCTTCTACTTCTTACAAATTATTTCATTATCTACAGACCCAAACATTTAGAAAAGTCATCAGATCACCCCAAGTAGGTTGTACAACTTCCATATCCATTTGAATATATATACACACAAGTCACCTACCATTTTTATAGTGTTTATGGATTTTTCTAAAGATTTCAATGAAAATTCTTTGATGAAATCCCCTGTTAAGTGTTTTAAAATTCAGAGACAAATGACTACAAAATGCATAGTTGTATACACAGCAGTGGCTCTGGGTCCCCCAACGTGGAGGCATTGTTGGTCTGAATGATGATGATTACATTTGTTATGGTAAAAAGGGTCGGAGGGTCCGAGGTCATGACAGGGGTTAAAGGATTAGCATGTGACAATAAGTACGGGCAGGAAAATGGAAAAGTAGAACTAATTTTTCTTGCACCCACCTGTGCTTTCTGTCAAATAAAAACTTGTGGTAATGACATAGTGAGGAGAAGAGACAAAGGTTAATGAGTAACACAAGTTCAGATGTGTAATGTATTGGAGCGTAAATGGAATCATACAATCCGGTGTGACTGCGCGAACTAACAAAGGAGATTGAGATCACAGCGGAAAATTTTGGGAGGCAGGCAACTTAATTTCTGTTGTTTGAACAGCTTAAAACTATTAATACATGCCAATTTTATTTAGCAGAAGTTTTGCTTGCAAGAAGCACTTTTAAATGACAAAACTGCCACTGTTCAAGGGGCCATAAATTCTAAACAGTTTTTCTATAACTTAATCTTTCACATTCATGCTACAAAGAAAGTTCCAAGTGATACTTGGTCTCTTGTTCATAAAGTACAATAGGTAGAGGGAGTAATAACTATTAAATGATGTTGTAATTGTGTAAAGTTTGATGTTGACAGGTGTTAAAAATTGCGAAAGCCTTTTTATAAAATCAGTGATAAAGGCAATGCTTGTTTGCTTGTTTTTTAAAGGAACTATACAATTTAAACATATAATTGCTATCTTTACTACTAAGGTATGTTTGGGGGAGAGAGAGAGCAAGAGAGAGAGAGCCCATGCATCTTTTCCTTTTAATGATAGAATGCATTTTATACTACTTGTGCTGCACATGGGGAAGAGAAAATAGACGTTTCACCAAATTATATCCTTTTCTACTGCCTATTCTTCTAGAATTTAAAAAGTAGTCCTACTTAAAGAATTTCAGGATCTACATTACTTTAAGTTTCCTTTTTCAGGCACAAATTTAAACTGTTAATACTTGGTTTTTCAAAAGTAAAAAACATTTCAGTGAAGCTGAAAAAACATTTTGAGAAACATAAAAATAAATAAATGACCCATGAAGGTCTAAGAGGCAGAAAGTGTCTGTCAGTTCTATTAATTCACAGTGGTGGCCCGACAGAAACACGTTTTGTGAATCCAGCTCACAGATAAAAAGAAAGGTCAGAGTTCAGAGAGCTAGTTTATCGCAAATGGTTCTCATGGATTTTTGTTTTCCCTCAGGTTTTCTGGGTTCATTGTTTAAATGGCCTCTTCCACTCAGTTATTCTGTTTTGGTTTCCACTAAAAGCCCTTCAGTATGGTAAGTAGAAAGAATATGAATGCGAAGAGATGACTTTTTACTTTTTCAGAAGAATAATTCATTGTCAATATACGTTAAAAATTATAGCAGTGTTTCCTTTTATGGTATTTCCCTTAACCTAAAATACATGCATCCAAAAGTTGTACACACTTTCAGGATTTTTATTATTCCTTTGGGAGCAAAGTGATTTAATATATGCAAAGCCTTTCTTCTCTACTTCTCATGTTTTTCAAACTTGCAGAGAGTTAAATTTTAGGGCTCTTTTTCCCCCCTCTGCTGATGTATAGTTTAGAGACAATAGTGCTCATATTTTATGTGGTCTCTTTATGATACCTGTGGGGCTACTATCAGGCTCTTCATTCTGAACCTAATCAGACATGCTAGTATTTTCAAGTATACTGGAGCCAATGTTTTGAATTAGATTTTTAATGTTTTTTATGTTCATCTTGTAGTACAAGCTTTTCTACTGCATGTTTGGAGGAAGTGATTTTATTCTGTCAGTTTTGAGACATGTGATCAAGGTGAATTTCCTATACACATGAAAATGATGAAATAGGCACTTAGGAAAGAAATCCCTGTGAGGCTAAAGGGAGAGCTGCCATGTCCCAGAGGCCCCTCACCTTGAGATCCTGGGGAGACAGGCATTCAGGGCCTCTGCTCCCGGACTACAGTAAGTCAAAGCACAGCACACACACCACTGAAGGGTGTGCCCTTTAAAAGTACAGACTGTGAGACTGAACAATTGCCAACAGGAGAGCAGGTACAGCAAACTCTGGGCCACCTACAGTCTTATCTCCACGGCAACTAGGGCAATCCTCGTAAAATAGCAATCAGATATGAGGTGCCTCTCTTCCCAAAACCCACAGAATTCTATCACATTTGAAACAAAAACCATAGCCTCAAACTTAGCTAACTCCTCTATTGATTTTTCCCGGCTCACCATCCTGCAGTCTGCCAGCCCTCCCTCTCACTCCCTCAGGCCTGTGCTCTGAGAGGCCCTCCAAATGAGCCCAGACACTGCCCCCACCCCAATTCCCGGAGCTGGAGCTCCATCCCCTTGTCATCCTGTATCCTCCTCATGGTACTTGCCACTAGGGTGAGATGTACTTGCTTATTCTCTGTACTTGCTTCTCTTTGAAGGGCCAGGAATTGTCCATTTAGTTCACCATGCCATTCCGTTGCTTAGAGAGATTCCCTGCTCATCACAAGCACTCAGTAAATTGCCAATAAGTTAACAAGAGATTGCAGCATGAATAGGATGACTGAGAGTTAAAGAGAAGGCAGTGGTTTCATGTCCTAGTCAGAGATTTTCATCTGACTTTTTTACTAATTGCTCTTTCAGTACAACAGTAAATACTTCTCATTTTCTAGGCCATGGAAATGAGAGCCATAAGGCAATCAAAAGTATAGAAGATTGATCCAGTAAGCCAGATGAATCACAATGGGATTTGGTTTTGTTGAAATACAGTTCACGTCCATAAAAATTAACCTTTCAAACTGTACAATTTAGTGGATTTCAGTATATTCATAGAATTGTGCTAATGGCACCACTATCTAATGCCCAAACATTGTCCTCACCACATAAAGACACCCCTTGCCCCTTGGCAGTCACTCCCCATTTCTCCATCTACACCAATCCCTGCAAACCACTAATATTCAACTCTGCGTTTACCTATTCTGGAGATGGAAAATATAACATGTGACCTTGGTTCATCCATGTTGCAGTATGATCAATTCTTTAATATTTCTTATGGCTGACTAATATTCCATTGGGTGGATATGAACCATGTTTTGTTTTTCCATTCATCAACTGAGGGACATTTTGTTTACTCTCACTTTTTAGAGCCATGTGCAATTGAAATCTAGAATACAGAATCTTAGACAAGTTCTTTAAGTAAATTTACCTTCAAAATGCAAAATCAATGCTGTTATTTCAACATTTTACATTAGACAGAAGAAATTTAATATCAATACTGTTTTAATCCAAATAGCATCTAAAATGCCTGAGGAGTGACAGGGTCTGAAAAAGAATTCCCAAGAAACTTTAGCTCCTGAAGAGCAGATCCTACTCTCCCTTTGCATTTGTTTGTCTGGGAAACTGCTTAAGGCAGCCAGCCACCTTCAGATGAGACAGTTCACATGGGGTGCTGCCTGGGAACCCAGACTAGCCAAGTCCAAAGAACACAGGCTTTCTCTCCTGAAGACATGAGTGGCATATATCAGAAATTGCAGTTTAATATTCTAATGGTGAGGGTTTTGATGGGTGGTGGTTGTTTGGTGGGTGGGAGGGAATGGTTGCCTTGTTTTTAATTTTTAAGAAAGAAGAGGGAGGGTTAGGGGTTTTTAGCTTTTGAAAGGACGGAGTATAGAAGAATATGAACATGCATATAACTTGTTGCTAAATATTTGTTTATTCGCTATGATCTATAGGCACCTGAAAATACCCAAGATCTTTTTGGGATACATGAGATCATTTGAAATGATGGTTAGACCAAAATATGATTATTTTTGATAGTTTGTTTATGTTGGTTAAGGAAGCTTTGTAGGAGCATGGAAATCAGAAAATACTCTTAAGATATTTTTAGTTATTTATGGATTTCTGCATTTGTTAATTTGTTTCTATGGAAATTTGCTGATTAATTGCAGACTTTCATAAGTTTATCCACAGTGTACTGATAAGTCCTAACACATCAGAATCCTGTGTCCCCACAGAGGAAGTACCCTTGCAGAGAAAGGGTACCCTTGATTGCCTGGTTGTTTGCAGCCTTTCTTGCCTGCTTTTAACCAAAAATTTTGGAGAAGGAAGTGCCACGTTGTGGAGCATCTGACATGCACCATGACCGTACTGGGTGCTTTATATATGAAGCCTCCTTTTAATATCAGAATCCCTCCAGGGCAAACAGTTTCACTCCATCTTTTAAGTTAAGAAACTGAGATTCATAAAGATTTATTATAAATAACCAAAAGGACACAACTAGTAACAGAACTAAGCCTGGTCCATGTCTGTGGCTCACTGGACACTCCTTTCTTTTCATACCACCACCCCTCTCCCTGTCCCATCCCATGTCTCATTCTAACTGGTTTTGTCCTTGCATATTAGACTTTAAATAAGTACTAGACATGTGCATAAATAAAAATATTGTGTTACACACATCATGGACTCCTAATTTTTTAATGGTATTAGGGATTTTATTATCCAGGTTTGTTTTTTTTTTTACTTCCATTTGATTTTCTTTTTTTACCAGTAATACTAACCTTAGTTAGCATCCACTCTCCAAAGCCACATTTGTTTGCCCTTGTTGGAATAACAAAATGCTATAAAATCAACCTGTAAATTCACCCAGACCTTCAAAAAGTCATATGCCTGGAATCAAGTCAGTGCTACTCAGTCCTCTGTGAGTTACTTTTATGAATCCCTTTTGGTCCAACAACTTTATTAAGAGAGAGTAAGTGTGCTTCCCAAAGGCCTCACCTATGTTGTTCCCTAAGTGCCTTATTAAGGGCACGGTGCTTTCTCCTGTCTTACTGCCCATATCATTAAGCTTCACTTGACCAATAAGTTTGATTTTTTTTCATCCATGGTCCCAGAGTCTTGGTTAACAAGTCAGTTTTCCTTCTTTTTGTTTGTTGACTATTGAGAATTTATTTATAATTTGTGGCCCACATTAATGGTGATTTGGGGGGACTTCTTACAGTGGTTTTATAAATTGGTCTCTTCTTTTGTTCAATATTTCTAACTGATTTATCTTTGAAAGGATACCAAAAGGACTTCACTTGTTTTCTAACACCTTTTTTTTTTCTTTCATACAGGTACTGTATTTGGAAATGGGAAGACCTCTGATTACCTGCTTTTGGGAAACTTTGTTTATACTGTGAGTCCAAGGCATTCACTTAGTTTGTGTATAAAATCAAATGCTTTCCTGGGTGCTCATCTTATTTTCAAATTTAAATGTTGTGTTTCTGGATTTAAAGGTTGTTTACACGTCTCTTTAAAAATGAAGTAAGATGTTTTGACTCCTAAGAGGTTATATTAGGTTATAAAATTGTCGTTTAGGTTCACTGACTTTATAGGACTTTGGTTGCTATTATTATCAATATTTCTTCTTTTATTGCCTCATTTTTTCCTTTTTCTCTCCCATGTCCCTTTTTTCCTCAATTTTATTATACTGTCCTTGTTAATTTTTGTTGCTTTCTTGAATTATGGCAAAGATTGCCATCCTACTTGGGTGTTTACCCAGTAATTATTCCAGAGTCTCCTGTTAACTGAAATGAAAGAGAAATCACCACTCTTTGGGGATATATAACCCACACAAAGCATGGAACACACTGGGTTATCACTATGCCAAATGCCTGGGGGTGTACTCAGATAAGTGTAAACCCGTCCTTTCTAAGAACCCAAAAAATGTTTTAAAACCATTTTCTGCTGAAAAGTCAGAAACACTACTGGAATGCTAGTGCCTGAGGTCACACAGTTGGCATCTGATAAAATTTACTCCCACCCATAACTCAGTTCCCAGATCAGTGTCCTTTGCTCTCTCTTCCTGTGTTCCTCTCCATGACCCCCAAAAGGGCCAACGTGCTGTTCTAATACTAAGTGGCAATCTGTATGGTTAAGTCAATTGGTAGAAAAATTATACTTTGGAGTTTAAATAACTGAAAAATAGAATGTTAAGGTCATTAAGTAACAGGGATTAAGGTTTTGGGAATCTGGGGGTCTCCCTTTCATGACATCAACCACTGAAGTAGGAAGAGAAAGAGAAAATAGGTTTGGGGGCTAATGAGTTGTTTTCATACAACATGAGTTAAAAAAAAAAGTTAATACTTGATAGAGTTAGTAGAAATTAATTAGAGTGTGCATCGTGGATGTCTCCTAGAAGATATTTCTCTTTAATTTTATGTCGGACTGTATCTCTCATTTTAGAACTTTTCATATAACAAGTTAATTTTCAAATATTTGGAAGTTTATATTCCCATGGTTATTAATCCTAAATTGCCATTAAATATCTTGCTGAAAAAACTCAAATGCTTCACTGTAATGTGACCTACTTTGACCACCCCTCTGGAAGTAACTCATCAGATGTTACATGGAAGCCTTTAAAGTCTTCAAAGTAGATCCCTGGTCTAGAACTCAGAGTTCCCACCATCTAATCACAGTTAGTCACCCTGATAACCAACTCCATCTTTGGGTATTTTCTAGAAGTTACTTTTATGAACATAACAAGATATACCTTTATCTCATTCAACACTTAGGAAAATTGTAAGGTTTTGGGAGCTGTGAACCAGGAACTGTAAATAAAGACCAAATGTGTATGAGAAATATATATATATATATATATATATATATATATAGTCATTTGAATGACCAAATATATATTTTTATAAAAAACAAAGTATGAGCTATCATATTTATGAAATAAAATAATATTTCCCTCTGTTTTAGTTTGTGGTAATAACTGTGTGTTTGAAAGCTGGACTGGAGACATCTTATTGGACATGGGTAAGAACAGCTCTAATCATTATCTATTAAATTTATTTATACATTATCACCAGTGGGGAATCATTCTAAATTTATCCCTGTACCCTAGTTCCACAGGTTGTTAATTGAGGGAAATCAGGGATGGAGTGGGGGAAACTGAGGATTCTAGTTTGTAAGAGTGAATGAAACAAAGTAAGTTTTTTTACCATACCACTTCTCAGAGACTTTATTATATTATTGTGTTTTGTGGATATCCCAGGTAAAGGTACGGAAGATTTCCAACTTCTGGACTGAGAATAATTTCTTAGTAGAGTGTGTCACCAAACTGGCATTCAGTAGGAAATCCATGGAAAAATAATTCTGAAGACTACTAATATTAGTGAAAGAGTGATCCTCAGACAACTGTAAATCTCCAATCTGGACAACAGAAGCTCCCTTTTAGATACATTGCTTTTTAAGCATATTTGCATCTAGATAATGAGAAAAGAAAACAAAAAGAAATGAAAGTTTGCTAATTATAGGAAATACTAGCACAGGAAATTTGGATTGGACAGCCATTGACATGCAGATAGCATTTGCAAAGTGTCTAACATCTTTCAGTAAGAGTTTACAGAGCAAAAATGAAGGAGGCTTAAAGATGGTAGGCAATAAAAAATGCAAGAGTAAGAGGAACAAACCACCAAAGGAGATGGCACAGGAATAGCTCTAACTGCCAGAACCACAAACACCAGAATTATTGTGGAAGAGATTAGCACTCAATGAGAGAGAAAGCTAAAACACACACACAATTACAGTTGACCCTTGAACAACAAAGGTTTGAACTGCATGGGTTCACTTAATATGTGAATTTTTTTCTGTCGAGGGTTCTACTTTCACAGATTCACCAACCACAGATGTCAGTTGGTTGGATCCACACATGTGAAAGCAAGTAAAAGTAGGACTGACTATAAATTATATATGGATTTTTCACATATTAGGGTTAGCCCCCCAACACTCCCCACGTTATTCAAGGACGAACTGTATTTAGAAATTCCTACAGAAAACATTTTATTGATATAGTGAAAAATGAATAAGGAAATTTGTCAAAGGCTCATTTGTGTTTGTGGGCTTGTTCTACTTAAAAGTCTTTTGACCCCAGTTTCCTCATTTCAGTTCAGCCATATAGCAATCTGGGGCAGCATTGCACTCTGGGTGGTGTTTTTTGGAATCTACTCATCTCTGTGGCCTGCTGTTCCAATGGCTCCCGACATGTCAGGAGAGGTAATATGTTCTGATATATTTTGATCCAACAAATCTTAGCAATTGGTATTCATTAATGAACCTAAGTCATTTGACTTGGATTTATATTAAAATAGTATCTGCAATTTAAAAGCTCTTTTTGAATTCCACATGTTGTGAGTGATAAATCTTGAGAGAATATTTTAAACTTGGGCATTTTATGTCTTAAATCTGACTTATCCTTTCATAAACATAGCAGGGACAATAAAATATGGTTGTCAAGAGCTTGAATCATGTTAAGAATATCCATCTAGAAGATGCCATTTTAAAGTTAGACCATAAATCCATAAATACATTTCGGATAAGAGATTTGAGGAAATGGTGTGCTTATATCTTGGGAACAGTCTATCATTTCTTCTGTTATCTCTTACTCTAAAGAAAATCTACCTTCAACAAGATTAAATGCACTTTTAGAGTTGTCTTAATGACATCAGTTTGGTTTTTGAAAGAGTTAGAGCATCTGACATTTCATCCTTATCATAGTCTATTTTCAATTCTGTCTTTCAGTTTCCCCTTACACTGGTAGGAATTGAGTTATTAGGTGTTCATGGGGGAGAGTCACAAGATCTCCTTTCCTTCAGAAGAGATTCCAGCAGTAGGAGGGTTTATGATTTCAATTGCAGGAAATTTGACATAAAATGTATAAAAGAAAATGTGGAAAACATTTCAGGATTTCCTGTGACCTCACAGTAACTTGCAAATCAAGGGTAATGTGAGCTCCGTTACAGTACATTGTTATCCCCAGTCACAGGAAACCTTCCAGTGGTTTCCATGTATTTGTTGCCCCTAAGTACTGCCTGAGTACCTTTCACTTTTGACAGTCTGGTTTATAGATCATTTTCATGAAATTTTATCCGACAGCATCCTGCTTTTTATAAATTAGCAGAATGCAGGCCCATTTAAAAAAAATTTTTGTGGTTAAATTTATTAGAGCAAGGCATTATATACTATTACAGCAAAACCAGACACATCAAGAAGCAGGTACTTCCTCCACCAAAAGTGAAGGCTTCTTTTGAAACATATACTGTGAATTCTAGAAAATGTACAGCATGTATTTTGAGGAGAACAGAGAGAAAGCTGTGACTGTATCTCCTCCTTACCTTGGTATCTGAGTCCTTTTTTCCTGAAGAAATAAAATCAAAGACTATGCATGTCTCATGATGCCCCTTGGAAAATCCAGTTCTTGTCTGTGTTTTTATATGGGGTGCTATTTCTAATTGTATCTGATTTTTACCTAAGTCAATTCCAACTTAATATCTTTTTTGTTAGGCCACATTTTATCTCGTTTCTAAATGTTTTATCTTCAAAATGAATGACACAAAAGATTTTGAGTTCCAGATAGCTTAAGCAACTGCAGCCAATAACTTTGATGACAAGAACAGAGTTTTTGACCACCTACTTCTAGGACAAGTGTGAAGTTGAACTGGGTTTTGGCCAACCAGATATAACTCTACCCATGCCTGTAGAATTCCCAGTATTACCCATACACAAAATTGAATATCATCTCTTGAGACGTGTGGTATTGCTGCATTTAATTCAAAGTGAAATGGATGTCAGTACTCCATCATGTTTCTGTACATTTCCTATATAATGGGAAGTGCTAACAGGTGTTCTTTACCATATTGTTTTATTATTACTGGTACTTTGAATATTATGTGGTTGGTGTGCCATTGAAAATATAAAAGGAGATCAGCTCAGCTGTAGGCTTGACTAATTGTCCAAAATGTAAGTCTGTTTAATTTATTTAAAGAAAAAAGTAATACTTTAAATTTATGGTATACTGGAGTGCTTATAAGGCATTTTGATGTGGGGTGGGGGGTGTGTGTGTGAGAGAGAGAGAGAGAGAGAGAGAGAGAGAGAGAGAGAGAGAATGTGCCTCAGAGTAACTCCAAAACGAGAATAACAAGAATGCCATTCAAATTCTCAAGAATGAATAGTCTACATTTGCTGTTAACTGGTCATTAATATAGCCATAACTCAATTTTTGGAAACTTTCATTATGGGTAGGTAGAAGGTTAGGTAGAGAACTAGAGGTATAGAGCTAGGTAGAGAGTCACAGCTTTGTTACATTATAATCCTGTTAATTTCAAAAAGAAGTAACTGCCCTTCAGTTTACATTTTTCTAATCTTAAAATTCAACATTACAATCACGAGTGTAGTCAAATACCTACAAGCACACACATACTTATACATATATATGAAAAATTTATGTGCCAAAAATTTTATCTGTATTATATATACAAAATTGGCCAACCATCTTGAATAAAATTTACTTACCTGTTAACTTTCATGGCCATTTACTATCATAACATATATTACATATATATTATAGGTTACATGTTATAATGTATTATAAATGCCAGGATAAGTATAAATATTAGCACTCCCTGACTTACATGTTTTATATAATCTGCATAATAAAAACACAGCCTGGAGCAGCCTCTAGAACATAAGACTGTTCCATCGGTTTTGTGGGGTGGTGTGTAGGTAATTTTCTCTCATCACCACTAAGAGAGTGATAATTTTCTAATCCAAACACTTGAATTCCAGTCCTTTCCTGTATCGATTTGGTAACAGTTCCAACTTCCAAGACTAAGTGATTAATAAAATATTATTATTTTACTTGGATCAGGACCTAGTGTGAAATCACAGGGCATAATTGTTTCAATGTTCACACACATCAGCTCTATGGAGTATCAAGCAATTTGGAGGCCTGGTTAGTTTCCATTAGTAAATATGATTCAACTAACTTTGAGTCAAATGCTTTCTTTTTTTTTAAAGATTTATTTATTTATGCATATAAGAACTGGGGTACAGGCCAGAGGTGTGGATGGTAAGAGGATTCACCAGACAGAGTGGGGAACAGAACAAGCAGATGACTGAAATACACTGCTGAGGGGAGCAGCGGGTGAATCAGGAGAGGTCTGCTGCGCCATGTGGGTTGCTCCCAGGCCGGCTGGGGTATCAAATTTGGGCTGCAGTGACTGTGGATTGCTTCATAGGTTGCATCTTAACCCCTTGAGCCACCATGGAGACCCTGAGTCAAATGCTTTCTAAATAAGTCAAATAGATCAGGGCTTTAAATGAGGGAACTAATTATAGTTAATTCTTTTCAACAGAAGAAAATAAAGCTCTGTGGCAAGGAGAATGCAATTAATGGGAGAGAAAAGAAAATCTCTTTTCTGTTTTCTTGACAGCACTACCTCCTCATTTCTTCTTTCTGATACATTTCAGTGGTCCTATTATTCTATTGGGCTGTCAGAAAAGTCATGACTTTTTTTTCTATGTTTTTCAAGCAAAAATGCATCATGACTTTTCCGACAACCTGTCCCCCTCATCTAAGTCATAATAATCGTTCCAGAATGTTTAAACTTCTTGAGTCTCCACTGCCTCTTTATTCCTTTACTCATTCACACCAATATAACAGTGTCAGGCTTCTATTGCCCCACAAATAAGTGTTAAATAGGTGATCATTAAGTAAATTTGTTTGCTTGCTTGCTTGTTTTGCGCAAATAAGAAACAATGGTGTAGAGATGTTAGAGGCAGAAATCAGCTCAAGTAAGAATATCTCCCTAACCATCTTGAAGTCTTCAACATGTGGCGATTTCCTTCAGCAGAACAGGATGCTGGTCTCATTTAACTCACCGTTCTGTGTTGGTCACTGGTTAGCTGGTAGCTGTACATGCTACTTAAGCAGACCCTCAGTTGTCTATACCCACAAGGTGGCCTCTCAGCATCTAAGGCTGGAGTCCCCTGTGTGCTTCTCGTCACTTTTCTCTCCAGAGGATCATCTTAAATGTTGAAAGAGCACAGACTATTGTGCTCTAGTTCACAGGATCTCAGGGTGCAAATTATACACAAATTAAGCAACTCACAGGTGCAGGTCTCAAGCTTCTATATTCAACTGGACCATATTCACACATAGATCAGGGTTTCATTGTTACTTCCAATTTACATTCCTGGTTCATCTTTGTGGTCCCATCTGAAGACTGAGCCGTTTTGTCAACCTATTGAAAGAAAATCCCTGTTTGAATCAAGTGGGGTTGGGATAGCACAGTGGATATCAACATTTATTGTGTAGGTACTATGTTCACACACTATGGGTTTCTTTGTGTTTTCTGTTGTTGTTCTGTTGTGTTGTTCTGTTTTAAGTGCATATGGCAAAGCTTTGTCATAAGCACGGTAATAGCAAGTGACCCAGAGAATTCATCCCAGGTGTAATTTTTGTAAATCTAGTAGTTTTCACAAACATCCTGAGGAACTAAGAACTTTTCCTTTGGAGCCCATTGCTTGAGAATATTGCTTATTCCCAAGTGAGAACTTTTTCTTTTCTTCTTACATCCATTTTCCTGACATTCCATAATTTCCCTGATTTATCTGATGTTTCCCAGGATCTATACCTATGGCCCTGACCAATTTCCCTAAATTAGCCAGATACAGAAGTATTCTCTTTTAAAAAGTGCCCAGATTTTTAATTTCCCCTTTTGAACATCTGCCTAACTCCCTGAACCCCAGTTATAAAAATTCCATGTCACTTCATATCCTAGCCTCTTAACAGTACTATTAGTAAAAACAACACCCATCTCACTGTGAAAAAAAAAAAAATTCTTTAAATTGAAAACCAAATCCTCTCACATCATTAGAGAATATGCAGTCACCAGCAGAGAACAACTGGGCTTCATTTACCAAGGATTGGTCACTTTTCTAGCACTTTCCCTGTCTTTGCTTATTTAACAATGAGAGCAATTGCAACACTCTAAGATAGTTCCTATTACACATTTCACAGGTTAAGTAATTTTCTCAAGATCACACAGCTTGTGTCTGAGCTACGATTGAAACTCCTTCATCACCACACAGACTGGTCTCTGTTCCTCTTACATTTCTTCTCTTGCCTTTTCATTCCTCTCTACAAAGGCTGTTCTCCCAGCCTTATCAACTTTTAGTGTCAGCACCACCAAATCCTTACTTCCCCTGGTAAACTA